AAGGGGAGATATCAAAGGCTAGTGGGACGACTTATATATTTATCTCACACTAGACCTGATATTGGTTTCCCTGTAAGTGTCGTAAGCCAATGCATGAATAATCCAAATTAGGAACACATGGAAGCTGTTACAATTATCCTTAGATACCTCAAGATGACTCCGGGAAAAGGTCTTCTTTTTAGGAAGAATAAAAATAAAGATATTAGAGTCTACACGGACACAGATAGGGCAGAAGATGTAACTGATAGAAGGAATACTTCAGGTTACTGTTCTTATGTTTGGGGGAATTTAGTAACATGGAGAAGTAAGAAACAGTCAATTGTTTCTAGAAGCTCTAGCTCTTTGCATATGTGAAGGGATGTGACTAAAAAGATTACTTGGCGAGCCGGGAGTATTTAAAGAAGGGTCTATACAAATGCTTTGTGACAATCAGGCTGCTATTAGCATTGCCAAAAATCCAGTCCATCACGACAAAACTAAGCATATTGACATAGACAGCCGCTTCATTACTGAGAAAATAGAGAACTTCATTATTAAAACATGTTATGTCCCATCAAAATTTCAAACTGCTAACATTCTTAGAAAAGCTGTACCGAGAACTGTTTTTGAAGAATTAATTAGCAAGCTTGGGATGTTTGACATTCACAACCCAGCTTGAGAGGGAGTGTGAATTTATTTCCTGATTTAGAGAATAACTACTGTTGTACTTTAGATCTGATTTTGTATTAATTACCAGTATCATGTAATTTATTCTTTCTAGAAATAGGATATTCTATTATTTAGATTAGCATATTGTATATTTAATGTCTTAGATTCTCTCCTCAATAGGCTGTATAAATATCCTATCATTATGAGAATATAATATATTACAAATATTCAGAATTTCACAGATATGATATCCCGTGCTCTACTTAGAAGCTTAAAGAAAATTAAAAGAGGATTAATCATAAACCAAGAAAGAATTAACCTTATAATCTGTTTTTTTTGTTATCCCATGCTCTAAGTTTCGTTCCACTTAAAAGAGGATATAATATAGCCCTATAATCAACATATTAAAGATAAAAGCGGAGAAAAGAATAGATTAAAAGCAGGTTAAACAAAAATCAAAATAAGATTAAAAGAGGATTAAAGATAAACTACTAGATAAGAATTAGCTCTGACCTATAATGCAATGTATAGTCTACTATACTCAAGAAATGAGAGCACCAGTTTGACATAAGTTATGGATGGCCAAATGGCCATCCTGGTTGTTAATTTGTTATAGGAGTATAGGACGGCCACACAACAATTCTCAAAATATACCCAGTCCCCATTGTCAAATTAGGATGGCCAGCTGGATACTTTTTTGCAAAAAGACGATACTTTTTTGGGGTGGTTTGAGACCACTTTGCAATTGGCCAGATCAAAGCTCACAACAATAGTTTACGAAGTCTTTGGATTAATCATGTAATTAGTTGGGCTCCTTTACTGAGAAAAGAACAGCACAACAATTTTTGCAATTTTCATACATGTAACCCTAATTCACACTTAATCACTCACTATGGATTAAGTGTCTGGTTTAATAGAACAAGGATGAAGTAGAAGAACACATACAGAAAATTGAGAAATAGAGAAGGAAATTACCTGATTTTGGAGATGGAGAAAAGAGCCGCGTTCAGTGGAACAAGAGAGCTATGTTCGATTGGAAGAAGATAGCTGCGTTCGTATGATATTGTCGATTAATGAAGCACGACATAAAATAAACTGCGTTCGTCTTTTAAAATTGTTTTCCCAGAATAATTTCAGAATTGAAGATTTAGAGAAGGTTGCTTGAATACATTCACTTAATGCCAGATTTCTATAAAATAAAAAACAAATTTCTTTGTACAATTAATTTGGTCGTTACTTCTAAAATTTCTCATCATCATAAACAAAGTTTCTAAAAAGTTGAGAGTTCACAAAACTTAATATTTCAGACTTTGAGTTAGAGCTGAATAGGCTGATTGGAGCTCATAAGTCGCACTACATAGAAAAGGGATAGAAAAGGGACAGAGCCTTTAGACCTGACCTTCATTATCGTTGTACTCGGACTCCGGTTTGCTGTCAGGAACCACAAGGTCCATCGGACCTTCACCATCAAGGTTTTAAATAGCCGTAGCGGCAGCGGTAGCGATTATCGCGGTAGCGGCCTGTAGCAGCCTATAGCCGACTGTAGCGGTTGCAGCGGCGTGAAATATTTTCAATTGCGCAAAACATAGTTTTATTTTTTCACATCATTCACACAACATTTAATTTTGAGTTTCACTCCATGCATCACCATTAATGTATTTTTTCACATCATTCACACAACATTTACACATTTACACATCAAACAGTTCGTGATGTACTGCCGGAAATGTCAATAGCGGGCTGTAGTGGGCTGTAGCGGACTGTAGCGGGCGGCGTAGCGGATTTTTCCCGTGATTTGGAAATCACACACGAATATCGGGCCGTAGCGGTAGCGGCACCTACCGCGACCGCTATATAGCGGCTGCTATAGCTGTAGCGGGCCGCTATTTCAAACCATGTTCACCATAGTCCTCGTTTGACTCCTCTTTACTATTCGGGACCATAAGCTCCTCCATGCATTCATTGCATGGAGCTAGATCTTGACATATGGTTACACTGCGTGATTGTAGATCCATGGTAGTCGGATTTAGGAATTTCAAATTAGAAGAGACGATTAGATCAACAGAGAAGCTAAGGTTGAAGTGTTGAACTGGATTTGAAATGATAGAAGGAAAGAAAGTTCAAGGAATAGAAGAGCGAAGAGTGAAGGAGGGGAGGTGATATGGCTGGAATCAGGGGAGGATCTATGTTAGAGCTATGGTGGGCTGAAGCCCAGGACAAAGTAAAAAAAAATTATTATTATTAAGGTATTATGTTTAAAAAATTGCATCCAGCCCATCCCAAATTTTTCTATAGCCCAGTCCAATTTCTCAGCCCAGCCCATAATACAAAATCTTAACATCTAAAAATCTAATCTAAATGTTATACACATCACCCTCATACTTAATAATTGGCACTTAGTATATACATATAAGGACTTTATTGACATGTTCACAACAACTTTTAAAGTGCTTGAGTATTTTCAAAAACATTGCCCAAAAGTGAGTTCTTGGGCATAAGTTCGTAGTGTACATAAACACTTTTCATGTTTTGAATTTGTGATCCTTTACTTTTTTTTTACTCCAGGGGGTCTGGGGGAAGGGGGGCTGGGGGGAGCCTGGAGTAATCAGGGTTGAAACTCACTCCGTTGAGTTTCGCACCCTTGTGTGCCTAGCGGATTTCGAACTCGAGACCTCTCACTAGACACAGTAACCTCACAATCAGCTGGGCTGGAATGCTTGGTTATGGAAATAATGAATTCTGTCAAGGCCTTCAAAATTTTTTATTTGATATCTTGTTAGCCATGAGAGACATTTTTCCATTACACAACCGATCATTCTAGAGGAATTGACAAAAAACGGATGGGAAGACTTTCTTGAAGAAGTAAAGGAGTTTTGCTCAAAACATGAAATTCATGTACCGAAGTTGAATTTTGAATATACGGTTGGTCATTGCAGAAAGAAACTACAGTTGAACATCATTATCACTTTGGTGTTTTCAATGAGGCAATAGACTTTGTATTGATGGAGTTAAGGACCCGATTTAATGATAAATTAGTAAAACTCCTTTCTTTGAGTGCTTCATTGGATCCCAAAAATTTATATGGGTCATCCAATGTCGATGTTATTTGTACTCTTGCAAGGAATTTCTATCCCGAAAATTTTAGTAGTCAGGACATTTTAGTAGTCAGGAATTTCTATCCCGAATTTCTATCCCGAAAATGAACACTATGTTCATGATGTATTCATGTACAAAGTTGTAGTATCTACATTTGTTGAATTATGTGAGGAGTTGATTAAGAGCAGAAAATCTGATTCATATGTTATGATGAGTAGATTGATTTTCCTTTTATTGAACTTACTGTTCTTTTGCAAAATTAGAACACTTGTTTTATGTCATGAAACTTCTAAGGGCAGCACTCCTCAACAAAATGGATGATGACTTTACACTAAAAAAGACATTACTCTTAGTATAGACGCAGACTCTATTGTTGATGGGTTCTTTTTGTTTCAAAGCCTCGTTGAGAACAAATTTAATGGAGAACTCTTATATTTGATTTTTTGTTTATTTTGAAAATTTTCAATGTATTATTATTTAAGTGTTTCAGCCCAGCCCAACATGAAATTCTGGATCCGCCCCTGGCTGGAATGGTGTAAGAGAGAGAGGGGCACAAGAACGAAGGAGGGCAAGTGATATCGACAGAATATGAGGGAGAGAGTGGCATGATACGGAGTACGGTGTAGTTGAAGGAAAGTGGGTGTGAGGGTAAATAAATAAGATGGGCAAATAAGAGAGAGTGGCAAGTTTTTAATGAGATGAAACTTTCCGTTTTTAGTAAGTAGGAACTATTTTTTGGGACAACCCAAGATGGAAACGGGAACTATTTTATGGGAAGGAGGGAGTATATATCAAGAAAATAGTTACATACTCCTTCCGTCCCGCTATGATTGTCCATTTTTACCTTTTTGATCCGTCCCACTAAGATTGTCTCATACCTTGTTTGGTAAAATTTGTGTGGTTCTAAAACATTCTTACTTTATTCTTACTTTATCAATTCAATATCAATCACATGAACCCACTTTTATTACCGAGAGATAATATTGCTTTGCAAAGCTTCTCTCGGTATTACTGCTACCTTTCGCCCCTACTTTTTATTATTACACTTATTAATTTTGATACTCTTAGTTTATAGTTTGTATCATTGTGTAATAAAATGGACAAAATTGTCTATGTTTTTTAAAAATCATGTAGTGCGACTTACGAGTTCCCATCAGCCTATTCAGCTGTAACTCTTTGTCTGAAATATTAAGTTTTGTGAACTCTCAGCTTTTTAGAAACTTTGTTTATGAATTATGATGATGAGCCGATTGGGCCGGATCGATTTTTAAAAACATAGATGGCCAGATTTCTAACTTTTTCAGGGTTTTTAATTACCGGCTACATTCTCATATACTAATGTCCAATATTTGTAATGCCGCCCGCTATAGCCCGCTACGCCGCCCGCTACATTCTCATACATTCCTTGACTGTTGTTCATGGTGAAAAATGAAAATGGAGGAAATATAATAATGTTCAGTCAAGAAAATAGAGTTGGGTCTGCATAAGTAGCTCTGTCATGCATCTTCATGTAAATCAGCAAATCCTCTAATAGTAAATAAATCTCCCCCCAATGAGGATTCATCTTACCACCAGCTACAAATTCCCAAACCTTACCCTCTACTTCAATCGAACTGCAACCTGCCTCTTTCTTTGCCCCGCTTTCCCTCAACAATCCCTTCATTTCTTTAACATCTGTCCATCTTCTCTCTCTCGCATACAAATTCCTCAACATCACATAGATACCATCATTCCATGGCTCCATCTCAATCGCCTTATCTTTCACCTTCTCCGCCCTCTTGACATCTTTAGCATACCCACACGCAAATAGAAAAGAACTCAGTATTATCCCATTAGCCTCGTATGGCATGCACTCAATCAATCTTTCAGCTTCTTCCAAACGTCCCGACCTTCCCAAAAGATCAACCAAACACCCATAATGTTCGATCATGGGAGTGACCCCATATTTCTCCATTTCTTTGAACCATCTCTTCCCTTCTTCAACTAAACCTCCATGGTTGCAAGCTGACAAAACGGCTAGCATGGTTATGCTATTCGGTTTGCACCCACTACGTGTCATTTGTTCAAATACATCTAATGCTTTCCTAGCACAGCCATTCACTGCCAATCCATTTAACATTGCATTCCAAGTGGATGCGTCTTTAACAATCCCTATTCCATCAAAAAATCTTGTGGCTTTTTCTATTTCGCCGCATTTGGCATACATATCAACGAGTGCAGTGGAGACGTTAAGGTTTCTTCTGTCCAGTTTCTTCGTCTTCACTAAGTGGTGGACAGAGATGCCCAAATCTAAAGCACCCAGTTCAGCAATGGCTGGAAGTACACTAACCACCGTGACGTCCGTCATCTCCAAACTAGTCCTTGTTCTCAACTCATGGAACAACTTTAAAGCCTCATGTGGTTGCTTGTTTTGACTGTATCCGCCAATCATTGCATTCCATGAACATATATTCCTCTCCGGCATCATGTCAAATAGCCGTCGTGCTTCAGTAAGACTACCCACAGTGCAATAGCCGTCAAGCATACTAGTCCAGGTCACCACATTTCTTGATTGCATTTCAGAAAACAAGGTCTCTGCTGATTCCATATCTCCCCGCTTCACAAAAGCATCAATCATCATATTAAAAGCCGCAATGTCTTTCTCTGGGTTTAAATAGAAGAGCCGCTTTGCGGTGTCCATATCCCCAAACTTCACGTAGCCTCCAATGAGAGCGGTCCAGGAAACAGGACTCCATTGAGTCATTTCATCGAACACCTTCTGCGCTAGATAGATACACCCAAGCTTCCCATACATGTCAACTAGAGATGTTGCTACGTACAAATTCGAGACAGTCCCGCTTCTCAATGCATGGTTGTGTACAACCAGGCCATCCCAGAAGGCTACTCTCAAAGAACAACACTTCGCCAAGCTGGAGAAGGTGTAATTGTCGGGCTTAAACCCCGTGTTCCCCAGCAAATCCCGGTACAAAATCATGGCATCCACCACGTGTCCAGAATCAAGATAGGATTTTATCATAGTGTTGCATAGAAAGCTGTCATCTTTTCTGGGAACGAAGTCGAACAGGCGGCGCGAGTGGTGGATCCCGGCAATTGGGTCGGCGGAGGAGAAGGCGGTGATTATATTGGTGATGAGGTTGATGTTGGTCTCCAATGAGTTCCGTAACATGAAGGTGAAAAGTTGGAGGAGAGTCGCCCTGGTGTTGTTCTTCTGCTGCAGAATAGATGAACATCTTAGCTCTAACGTGCCCAATAGTCCTCTGCTTTCTTGGCCACTCATTGACACATTTTTTTTTTGCATTGACACATTTATTCTGTCTGAAATAAATCTCTGTGCCTTCAAACCAGCAATCCTCTTTCAACCGCAAATTATACCCGGGTGATGCTCGGCGCACCTCCTGGACAAGTTTGTCCTTGATCAAATTCACGGCACATCTAATTTGCCAGGCGCACTACTACATAAAGCATCTCTCTTCATTCAATTGATTTTTGATTTTTAATTTTAATGGGTCTTATTGATTTTTCAAAATAAAAATTGGTATTTATGTTTCCTAAATACGTTGGGCATTTTCGTATCGAGCAAAACGCGTCATAATAAGTTAGTAACTAGTATTTCAATAAGTAACATTTTTAATCATAGTAAATTAATTTTATTCATTTTTTATTTGTTTGACTGATTTCAAAGGTGGAGGGCTCCGCCTTTTAAAACTCGACTGACACCATGTTGATTCTGCATTACGACCATATATGTTACATGACTAGATTTAGGATGTGAATGATGATTAAAATGTTTTTAATTGAACAGATTTCGATCCAGACAGATTCAAAAAATTAGATCAGATCAGACTAGACTAGATTTTCAAAAGGGATGGCTTGGCGCACCTACCTAATTTGTGTGCGCACCCATGATTGATGAAAACATTATTGTTTAAGTTTTTGTATACTGGAATGCATCCACATCTTTAGTTAATGCAGTTTACTTCGTTCATAAGTCAAACACTTTCATACTAGAAAATAGTGGGTGCCGAACAATAACCATAATACTTTTATAATTTAAAAAATGTAAGAATTTAAATCTTTATCATAGAAATAATTAAATATTAACAAAAAATTAAGGACTTTGTGCGATTAAGAGTTAGCTAATTAGAGATTGGTAATTGTGACCGATCTGATGGATAACCGCACCGAACAACCACGACCAAAACGGGGAAAATCGCATTGATCGGGTAATGGGCACAAGGTAGGAAATACCCGTTTTATGGTATTACACAACGGGGCAGTTACTGTTTTATACATGCTCACCTCATTACCAGCCTCATTTATTTTTAGTTATTTTTTATTACATTTTTATATATTATTTGTATTACATAACAGGGCATTTAGATATGTTATTGTATTTGTTACCTCTAGTAAACAGTGTCAAACAGTGCCAAACAGTGTTGCTACAGTGTCAAACAGTGCCAAACGGTGTGGCTACAGTGTCATTTTCTTAATCTGTGTGAAAAACCAAACGGGACAATAATTTTGGGACGGAGGGAGTATATCATAGAAAAAAGTGTATAAATATATAAAATATTAAAGAAAAATATGTATGAATAGGAAATAATATATTACTTACTTTATTCAGATCAATACAATTTGTGTGTGTTTGTATATAATATTTGTATGCTTCCTCGGTTCCATTTTACTTACAACAGTCAACATTTCACGTTTGCCAACGCACAAGTTTGACCATTAATATCTTTCTTTGCTTAAAAGTAATTAAATTAAACAACTGTAATTTTAAAATATGAAAAAATTAAAATAAGATTTCACGACCGCACAAAACTTAATATTTCACCCAAGAACATCCAGTAGGCCTGAAAAAAGGCCTGATTCATCCCATCTGAGCCCGATGTCTAGTCTGGATGCATGTCCAAAATAGGTGCCTTGGCCTCCTCCGGACAGATAAGCTTTATAAGTGTTGCATTCTACTCAGCCAAAACCTGGGAAAAATCCCCCCGGATATGCCGCGGCTGATTCGTAGCCGAGTTTGAGAACAAATCCGTAAAATAGCTAGACACGACCGAGTTCATATCCCTGCGGTCAGTAATTCAAAAACCGTCCTCCCAACGTAAACCCTCCATTCTGTTTCTACTTCTTCTCTACTTAACTGCATTGTGGAAAAACCGGGAGTTGATATCCCCTTCTTTCAACCAGAACTCCTTAGCATGTTGCTTCCAGAACATATTTTCCTTTTCAAGCAGAATATACTGAACTGACCGAACTCTCACAAATTCATGCACGCTAGCCACATCATCCTTGCTTCTCAGCCATGCAAGTCTTCTTTGCAAGCAAGAATATGTTGAAGAAAGCCCCTTTTTCTGCCTCTATCCCACCTTAAGGGCTCGGTACCACAAAAAGAAATACGTTCGTTTATACGCATGATATGTGAGCAGCCGCGCCCCAACTTGTGGCCTGGTAACAATCGACCGACATTCATCCTCCTTAACTCAGCTATTCTCAAACTTGAAACATCTGACCTTTTTGTGTTTGGTGCCCTCCTCATCTCCATGAATAGGGCCATATGATCACTGGTCGGGGCTTCCACCGATTTGGCTTGAGCTCCAGTAATGAGATCCCACCACTCATCATTGACTAGAAGCCTGTCAAGTTTTTCCTCAACCCAGTAATTTGTGCCCTTACCTCTCTTCCAAGTCCACCGATACCCTGCAAAAGGAAAATCCCGCAATCCACAACTATGCACTGCCTCCCTGAAGCCGCACACCCTCCAAGGTGGATGAATTATATATATTGCCTTTCTTTTCCGAGTCATGTACTATGGTTGAAATCACCCGACGGAGTGTATGTACTATCGTATTAAATATGGAGTACAAAACTTTATCGAAAAAATATATATAAAAACTCTAAACCCCGATGTTATATTTTCAAACATGTATTTCAACTACGAGTGTATTTTCTCTACCTTCTCTTATATTACATCCGCCTCATTCATGTCCTACTCAGCATTGCCAACTTTATATTAGATGTATACTTAGAAAAGAAAAAATTGGGATTGTGTAATTGAGATTTGTATAGAAGAGAGATGAATAAAAAGAATCACAAATTTGCTATTTTAAAAGGAAAGTGACAAAGTTTTTGTGATTAAAGAATGTTAGCAATATCCATTGGAACGGAGGGATTTATTTTTTTGACGTGTATCGCAAAATTATACTCTATTTCTTATGTGAAAGTTACAGTAGTCTTTATTATAAAAAGAACCGAAATACAAACATTTCTTATTGTGACATTTTGACCTGTTTGATAACAAACAATAAGATATTTTGGAAATAGAACATTTTCATGTACACGGTGTAAAAGTGATAATGGAGAATTTAGAAAAACAGTTTGCACTTTATTTAACATATACTATCGTATATGTGTGATTATTATTATTCTTTGACTAAATCACCAAAAGAAAATAGTCTAGTCGTATACTCGTATTGCTTTATTTGCATCACTTTATTAACTCTTGATCTATGATGAGCACTATATATACGCAATATGCAAGATGGGTAGAACGACGTGGTACTCAAAGGAGACTGAATACCCTCAGAATATACGGAGAGCTTGTAAAATGGCAACCAAGAAAGAGGAAATCATCCCACATCAGCCACCTGCAGGTATAGAAAACACGATAAGCAATTAACCTAGACGAAAATATAGCCTTAAAATGGGAATACTTATGCATGTTTTATTCCTTTTATAATTGATAAACTCATATACTCATATTTAGATTTTCCCTCATTTATGTAATATTTAAGTACCCCTATGAACTTTTATTAATGTGTTGATCTGAGGTGTTGTGTAGTCGAGAATATAATTATTCGAGATGACATTTTATGTACATTAGTTTATTCAGCCAATCGATCATATTTTTCTTCATTTATGTACGTAATATCTGAGTACTCCTATGTATTTTTGTTGATGTGTTGGCGGTGTTGTAGTCTAGAAGGACTTGAGATGACATCTTCTGTACATTAGTTCATTCAAAAATCGAAATGATATTTTTAATATTAGTCGAGATGGATTTTTTATTAGTATAATTTACCAAGTTAATAAGCCAACAAGATGGATGGCCATAAAGATGACATCTTTTTTTGGTCAAGAAGACATTAATGATAGCAATTTGACTTAATTTGATTTTCTTTCATGCAAAATGCCACCATACCATTCTCGACCTTTTGACTTAATTCGAGAACTTGTCTTGAATTTGGCATTTCGACTTGAGAATAAAAGTATAATGTCTTCATATTAATATTTCTTTTCAGGATGGCATTACTTGTTGGTTAAAATGTGTAGACGGTTTTTTTAAGAAGACGGGTTTTTAAATAATAGCGCATTTAGGCATTCATTTACTACGTGTATATATTTTCCTTTCTAAAAATCGTTTTACGCGTCCGACTAGTCCCTGCCTAGGCGCTAGGCGGTGGCCGAGCGCCCCGATTTTCGTCTAGGCGCTCCGACTAATTGGTTAGCCATCTAGGTGAGTTAGTCGGCCACTTATGGCACCTAGTTGCCCGCCTAGAGTGCCTAATCGACCGCCTAGGCCATCTAGCTCGATTCGCCCAGCATTACTTTACTTTTTAATTTTAATGGAAAATCACATTTTTAGTCCCTGAAATAGTCACCATATTGAAATGTCAAATCCGTATTTATGAGATTGTAAATGTCACCCCTTAATTGTCCAAATTGTTGTAAACCTCGCCCACATTGTACATTTCACCTCTCAAAGGAACACATTTACAGCAATTTGGACAATTGAGGGGTGGCATTTACTAATTGGGAACACGGATTTGACATTTCAATATGGTGACCATTATATTTCAGGGACTAGAAGTGCGATTTTCCCTAATTTTAATTTTCTAAGTGTTATACGTACTTTAACTTTAGCCATGTATAAAAGAAATGAAGTTGTAAATTAAGACAAACCTATATATCACTACTAGAATTTTTATCATTTGCTGCACCCCATTTGCTGCGGTCATTAGCTTAACCGCAGCAATAAGTGAATTTTTTTATGTATTTACGGCGGTCCAACAACAACCGCAGCAATTCTATCCAAAAAACTAGACTATTCGCTGCGGGCTTAAAGGAGCCGCAGCAATTAATGTGAAAAATTGGAATTTCGCGGCTCAATTGAAATTAAAAATTAAAATTATTTTTGCTTTTGCTTCTTGTGTGGTGTAACCGCAGCCATAACCTTTGAAAATAGGATAACCCTTGCAGGCCACTCGGTTTCTGGAGACGCGGGCATCATTATCTTCTTCTTTCCAGCCGCAGGGCGCAGGCTATCGTCATTCCAGCTGCACGTAGCCGCCGTCTGTGTAGGAGAGTCACGCCGTCGGTCAGCTTTGTCGTTCTAGCCCGCCTTCTCCGTAGGAAAGCCTCGCCTCCTCCAGCAGTAAGTCCGTCTACTCCGCCCTT